CAATCTCATTTCACTAATTGAAAAAGTTGTCATAATAATTTGTTCATTAGGTTGTTAATTTTTCTCAAGATATTGTAATAAAAACTTTCCAAGTATAAAAAACATGTAAAGAATTCTTTCAAAATGCTTAGTCGCCTGTCATCTAGACTGCAGTTTTAAAATATTACTGTATATGCTCTATAAAATTCCTATCCATCTATCCAAGCATCCGTTTAACTTTCTTTTGGGATCAGTTTCAAAAGAGTTTCAGACATCTCGTGCATCCTTCATTGGATTGTCTTGAGGAATAAATGGAATGATGCACAAAAACCATCAAGTACATAGATAAGCATTAGAATCTTAGTAGCCCCTTCCTTCCATCTATGTTTACCATGTATAGCTTAAATGTCATTGGACCTACTAAGAGTGTATGTTTTAGACTGAGGAAAGAGGGGGGCACATGGGTGGCTCAGCGGTTGAACGTCATGATCCCGGGGTCCTGGGATCGAGTCCTACATCAGGCTTCCCTGCAAGGAGCCTGCTTCTCCCTCTGCCTATGTCTCTGACCCTCATTGTGTGTCTCTCATTAATAAATAAAAAATTTTAAAAAGAGATTGAGAAAAGAGGGATATTTCTACAATAACTTTTTATCAAAATCCTGTTGGCCCCTACCTTCAAAATGTATCCAGAACCTGGGCTTCTAGTTGCAGCCTAAAAATAGAATATCTCCATTATCTCTAATCTTCCCTCTTATCACACACAAATACACACACATATACACAACTTTACACATAATAAACATGGGAAGACTATATGAATTGGAAATAAGTCAGACTGACTCAGAGAGGAATGACACTGTGGTGAGTTCCCTAAATTTTCTTTCTACTTCTTGTGTATCCTAGATGGAGCACTGGAGACACCTATACCCTGGCACCTCCATCAACAGGGACAGACTAAAAAAGCCTCAAGCAAAGCCTACAACCTGTAACCTAAGGATTGGCAAAAGTGTAGACTAATATAACAGGGAACCTTTTTATAATACTGTTCCAAACTCTGGCCAACCATCAGAGAAAAAATTGGTCCCTCACTGCAGTGCCATTGGACTGTGTGTAGATAGCTGGACTTCTGGCCCCACCAAAGGAAACCAGGAGAGGCAGTTTATAAGATGGCCCTGGATTTCTTCCACTGGGCTGATTTCAGTAGGCCAAATAAGAGCTGAACTTTCACCCCTATCCAGCAGCAAAGTGGCAGAACAAGGTGGCATGAGATGGTGCTAGTTGACACTTCACTCTCCAGTGGGGACCTGAACTTGAACCTTCACCTAGCAGCAACAAACTGGAGTGAGGTGGTGCTATTTAGCATTCCATTTCCCTACTCCTGTTATTGGTGGGGACCAGCCAGGAGCTGAACTGCTACTGCCAGCCAATGGCAATGACGTAGGAGAAGGAAGAGGGAAGCAGTGCTAGTTGGCAGACCTCTTTCCCCTTAAGGTAGCATCAGCAGGGTCAAGGGAGGAGCTGAACTTCTAGCTCCACTTAGAGGCAAGGTGGCAGAACAAAATGGTTCAAGGCAGCGCTAGTCAGCACCCCATTTTCACTCTCCCATTGGTGTCAGCAAACCCACAGGGAGCTGAGCTTCTACCCCTACTAAGTGGCAATAAAGTAGAGTGAGTAGAATACTAGTTAGTACCCCACTTTCCTTGCTGGCATCACCAGGGACAAGTAGGGAGCGAATATCCATCTCACTTGGATCTGCAAGCTATGCCTAAACTGATCTACAACCTGCAAAAAACTCAATTAAGTAGGATATAGCATTTTACACTGTATACACAAATGTCCAGTATATAATAAAATAAAATCACTTCTCATACCAAGAATCTGGAAATTTTCAACTTGAATGAGAAAAGATAACCAATAGAAACCAACACTGAGATAACACAGGTGTTAGAATTACTTGTCAAGAATTTTAAAGTACTCATCATGCTTCAGCAAGTGATTATACATGCACTTAAATAAATGGGAAAAGACATGAAAGTCTCAGCAAAGGAAAAGAGGATATAAAGAAGACTCAAATGGAATGTTAAAGCTGAATAATACAAAACCCAAAGTAAAAAAACTCATTGAATGGGCTCCAGAACAGAATAAATGTGACAGAAGAAAGAATCACTGAATCTGAAAAGAGAAAAAGACAAATTAGTCTGGACAGAGAGAGAAAACTGATTGGAAATAAACCCACTACCTACCACTTCCTTTAATACCACTCTCAGCCAAGCCACTGTTCTGCCTACATATAGCAATTAGCCACATAACTGATCTCACTTTTTCAAATTTTGCCCCTTGAATCTATTTTATACCAGAGTAACCATTTAGAAACATAAATTAAGTCAAGTAATCTTCTTCTCAGTGGCTTCCCATTTCTGTCAGTGAAATTCAAAGTTTTAGAATGGTAGACAGGGTCCTTCAAGATTTGTCCTCTGTTGTCTCTCCACTGATGGTAGGCAAAATTCTAAGATAGCCCCATGATTTCTACCTTATGATATTACTCTTACAGTTAAATTACCTTACATGTAGGGATGCCAGGGTGGCTCAGCAGTTGAGCATCTGCCTTCACCTCAGGGCATGATCGTGGGTCCTAGGATCGACCCAGGATCCCCACAGGGAGCCTGCTTCTCCCTCTGCCTCTCTCTCTGTGTCTCTCATGAATAAATAAATAAAATATTTAATAATAATAATAATAATAAATGGAAAAAAAAGAATTTGCAAATGTTCTTAAGGTTACAAATTATTTGATCTTAGGTTAAGAAGATTATCTGACAGGGCCTAACCTAATCACACAAGCCATTGAGAAGCAAAAGGTTAAATCTGGCTAGTTGTAGAAGAGTAAACCACAGAAATTCTAAATAAGAAAATAATTCAGTGTGTCATTGCCAGCTTGAAAATAGAGGTAGCCACATAGTAAGGCATATAAGTAGCCTCTAGAACCTGAGAGAGACTCCCAACTGGCACCCAGCAAGGAAACAGGGAACTCAATCTTTTTGATGTTTAGTTAATTCCATATGTCATCCTGACTGGGCCACAGGGCACCCAGGTATTTGGTTAAACAGGGCAGGAGTGTTTGCTTTGCCTATAAACTTTCTGAGTTCTTGGAACAATGACTGGTATAGTAGTGCTTACAAAGTAAATGTGCAGTAAAATAAATTGACTCTATGTCAAGTTACCTCTGACTTAATGCATTGTGTTGTAATATATTATAGTCCAAGGTGTATGTGCACTTTATGCCCTTCCTCAAAATTAGGCTAAATATAGATACATAATGTGTTGCTTGTGCATGGGAATGTGATAACAAATAATAGACTCTGTGTAGTCATCAGTGTAAAAATAGCCAATGTAAAATGGCTCCTTGCCATTCTTACATCCTTAAGTGCAGGAAAGTATATAAAAGGAACTTTAATGAGTGGAACTGGGATACTTCTGAGAGGAGGGTGGGTAATACAAAAGGTGCCTTGGTCAAACCCAAGGCTTACAGAATACATTTTTTAAAACTACTAATGAGAAAATAGAACTAGATGGCTTCTAAGGTCCCTTAAAATTCTATATTCCATAGTTATCTAACCTCTACACAAACTCAGTTAATAGCTCAAGATTTGATCTCTCATCCTTTTACTGATGAGCCTGAAATCTGCATTTGCAGTCCTTTCTGTGGATCCATATTCCTAACCTTTTGTCTCCAACTGTTTCCAAACATCACATGGATAAGACACCATGACCTGGAATGGAGCATGTCAAAATCGTACTCATCTTCAGGATCCTGGATTCCGGTTCCCTTGTCCTTTTGCCAATTATGTAGATATTCTTTCCTCTCTCCTCTTCTGCCTGAGTCAGTTTCTGGATCCACTGTTTCCCCTGTCAAATTTCCTCCCTTATGTTGCCCTTTCTTTTCATTATCACTGTTGTCACTCTTGTTCATGCTGCCACTTTCTCAAAATTGGATTATTTAGTCACTATCCTAACCAATTTTCCTATCTCCCATCATAACTGCACTCTCCTCTCTAGCAATCCTACATATGACCATTTGTTAATGCTTCTAAAATGGATTTAAATATTCTCAATGCCTCAAAAACTCCAGTGAGTCTCCACTGCCTACAGAGTACATTTTAATTAACAGTCAAACGAATATGTAAGATATTTCATGATCTGGCCTATTCAGTCTAGTCTCGTGTCCCCCAGATTCTCTTCTCTTTTTTAGATACACTCATCCTTCTGAGCACTACTGTGGTGCTCCATAGAAGAGCAAATGGGTGGGGAGAGTGAAATAGGTGAAGGTGGTTCAAAGGTACAACCTTCTAATTTTAAAATAAATAAGTCCTAAAAAAAAATAAATAAAATAAAATAAAATAAAATAAAATAAAATAAAATAAAATAAATAAGTCCTGGGAGCATGGTATACAACATGGTGCATAATACTGCATTATACATTTGAATGTTGCTAAGAGTAGATCTTAAAAGTTCTCATCACAAGAAAAAGAAATGTAACTATGTGTGGTGGAGGATGTTTACTGGACTCATTCTGATGATCATTTCACAGTATGTACAAACGTCAAATCATAACATTATACACCTGAAGTTAAATAATGTTATATGTCAATTATGTTTCAGTTTTTTAAAAATACAAAAACAGATGTTTTAAACAAAGAAAAAATGGAAGTAAGTCCAGTGTAAGAAAATGTTTTGGAATTAAGGAATGACTTTGCATGGTATTTTGACATTTGTTATTGTGAGAAACTGCAGTATCTGCCCTGATACTAACATTTTTCTTAAGGTGCTAATGTATCTTACATTGGGAAGCCATTTTATAGGTAGTGAATTGCTGGTATCATATATCTCAATGAAAAGTAAAAGCAAAAAAATAATAATAAAAAATAAAAATAAATAAAAAAATGAAAAAAAAAAAAAGAAAAGTAAAAGCAACCTAAATTTTGAGTAGGTCACCCTCTGAGCTCTGTTTTCTACTTGTTTCTCCAGGGAGCCCCGCAAGGTGGTCCTGCACAAAGGCTCCACTGGCCTGGGTTTCAACATTGTGGGCGGGGAAGATGGAGAAGGTATTTTTGTATCCTTCATTCTGGCTGGTGGACCAGCAGACCTGAGTGGGGAGCTCCAGAGAGGAGACCAGATCCTGTCCGTGAGTATTTCTTCTTAATCTTCAGTCCTGATACCACTTGAGAAAAAGTAACTTTCAATTATGACTCCAGAAGCACCTTAATTAAAAAGGAAAAATGAAGGATGCGTGGGTGGCTCAGTGGTTGAGCATCTGCCTTTGGCTCAAGGCGTGATCCTGGGGTCCCGGAATAGGGCCCCACACTGGGTTCCCTGTGGGGAGGCTGCTTCTTCCTCTGTCTGTGTCTTTGCATCTCTGTGTGTCTTTCATGAATAAGTAACTAAAATCTTTAAAAAAAAAAAAGGGAAAAATGGATAAGAGCATTATGGCTTCCAGTACATGTGGCGGTTTAAATGATATTGAAGTGCTGGGTGCTTGTTACTCACTTCCAGCAACAATTTATTAAACACTTATTTTTAACCAAACATTTTATAAAAGTAATTTTTAATTCTCACCATCACCCTGAAAGTTATTTCCCCATGTTTGGATGAAGAAAATAAGGTTCAGAGAGCTTAAGTCAGTGTTTTACCGAACTAGAGAGAGTAAGAGCTGGGATTTAAATATTCAGTCGTTTTTTTTTTTTTAACATGTTATTTTTAAGTAATCTCTATACCCAACATGGGCTCAAACTTACAACCCAGAGATCAAGAGTCACATGCTTTACTTGACTGAGCCAGCCAGGCCCCCGTAAATGTTCAGTTTTAATGCCCGTGACACCTGCCCTCTTTTCCCTCCTTCCTCCCTTCCATCTGTCTTCCTTCCTTCTTTCTTCTTTCTTTTATTGAAATATTTATTGACTGCTTCTTTTCACTAGATCAAGCTATCTTTCTGGAATAAACTATGTGACAGGTAGTTAAAAACATTGTGGATGTTCATGACCGTACCGGAATTTTGGTAATCTTGCAAATAATGGGAAATGATCGAAGGAGCCTAGTTCTTATGGCCAAGTTTATGGTTCATAACTCAATGAAACACTTAGTTTGTGGTCTTCATTATGTACTTAGAAAAACTTGTCTTTGTTATATAGCTGTGATTTATAACTAGAATTTTCCAAGTGACCTTATCTTTGTTAGCCATCATGCCATCCCTACCTTCCCCTTACACACATATTCCCCATGTAATATAGTCAATTGACCTGAGCAAAGTATCCAATGTTCTGAATGGATGGCCTTATCTTATATATTCTGGTAGTTTTCTCATACATTAAGTCCTCTACTTACTCATTAGTTAGCAGATGTCTGGACAGATTGAGTATGGGAGAAATAGGATCAGGTCCCAATGGCAAGACTTTGTTCTGTCATTCAAGAGCTGAATATCACCCCTTTAACTACTCCCCTCTGCATACTGTCTCTACTCTTAATATCGATAGATAGATAGATAGATAGATAGATAGATAGATGATAGATCAATCTTCCTTTTTTAAAGATTTTATTCATTTATTCATGGGAGAGATAGAGAGAGGCAGAGACATAGGCAGAGGGAGAACGAGGCTCCCTGCAGAGAGCCTGATGCAGGACTCAATCCCAAGACCCCAGGATCATAACCTGAGCCAAAGGCAGAGTCACTCAAACAGCGAGCCACCCACAGGTACCCTATATATATCTTCCTTGACTTATGATGAGGTTATATCCTGAAAAACCCATTACAACTTGAAAATATTATAGTCAAAAATGCATTTCTTAAACATGCTCAGAACACTTAAATTGGCCTACTTTTGGGCAAAATTACCTTAAAAAAGCCTATTTTATATTTTATAATTGTTGAATATTTCATATAATTTACTGGTACTGTACTGAAAATGAAAACAAAATGGTTATATGAGTGCAGAATGGTTATAAGTGTATCAGTTGTTTATCCTCATGATGGCATGGCTGAGTGGGAACTGCCACTCATGGCCCAGTATCACAAGAGGGTGTATGCCATATTGCTAGCCGGGGAAAAGATCAAAATTCAGAAGTTGAGGTACAGTTTCTAGTGAATATGTATTGCTTTTGTACCATCACAGAGTTGAAAATTTGTTAAGTCAAACTGTCATTAACTCCGGGACCATCTGTATAAGATATAACTTCTTTTTATTGACATTTCTTTTCTAAGTGACAAAAGCTCCCTGAAAGCAAATTCTCCATCTTACATGGTTTTGTGTCCTCGACATTTAGCATAGTGACTGGCACATAGCAGTCTCCCAAGCAATGTTTGTTGAATGAAAAAGTGTTGAATAAATGTGGTGATGCTCTACAAAGTCACTGTAGCCTCCCAGATGGACTCTAAAACTCTAAGATGAACATACTTATATATTGTCATCATCCTGACTCAAAATCTGTAGCCCAGGGATCCCACTGTTACTATGCCACTGGCGAAGTCTGCATTCACACTGGCATAGCACTTTCCCACACACAAAGCACTTTCATGTGTATTAATTCTAAGTGTCAGGATTGAGTTATTATTACTCTCACTTTCTTATATGAGGAAAAGGGGATTCAGAAAGGCTGAATGATTTTTCCAAAGCTCTACAGCTACTGACTATGATGTTGAACTCAAAATCAAGTTCCCTGACCCCAAATCTGTTCTTTCTCTTCAAGCACAGTCTCCCTTCAAAACCTGTCAATGATCTCATTCCACATTTTCTTATCCCATTGAGTACTGCTCTGTGTGAGCACTACACTCAGGAGCACACAAACTATAAAGAGCTAATACTTCCATGTTATTTTTGAGTCAGTCACTATTATGACCAATTTAATCTTGAAACCGCCCTGTGCCTTGTTATGCTCATTTTTATAGTAAGCTCTACACCAATCTTGGGGCTTGAACTCACAACCCCAATACCGAGCGTCCCTTGCTCTACAGATTGAGCCAGCCAGCCACCCTCGTATTATGTTCATTTTAAGTGTAAAGATAATGAGTCACAGAGATGACATTAGACTTTGTTTAAATGAGAAATGTATAGGTTTTATTTATTTCAACTTCTCGGCATATGGTAGAAATAGGGATGAACAAATAATATTATTACTCAACAAAGAAAGTTCATAAGTATTTTGGTTTTCAAAAGTAGATGTATCCATTTAAATAATACCAGCAGAACCACATAGTAAAAGAAGGCAACCAATCAGAGTTATAGTCTTCTTGGAGACTATAATTCATAGACTATTACAACAGTCTCTGACATTCAGATATCATACCCTTTCTTTTTTTTGTCATTTCTTTTATTGAATTTGATTTGCCAACATATACTATAACACCCAGTTCTCACCCCATCAAGTGTCCCCCTCAGTGCCCATCACCCAGTTACCCCATCCCCCTGCCCACCTCTCTTTCTACAACCCTTTGGTCATTTCCCAGAGTTAGGAGTCTCTCATGGTTTGTCTCCCTCTCTAATTTTTCCCACTCAGTTCCCCTCCTTTTCCTTATAATCCCTTTCACTATTTCTTATATTCCCCAGTTGAGTGAAACCATATGATGATTATCCTTCTCCGACTGACTTACTTAATTCAGCATAATACCCTCCAGTTCCATCCATGTGAAAGCAAATGCTGGATATTCGTCCTTTCTGATGGCTGAGTAATATTCCATTGTATGTAATACCACATCTTCTTTATCCATTCATCTGTCGATGGACATCATGGCTCCTTCCACAGTTTGGCTATTGTGGACATTACTGCTATAAACATCGGGGTGCAGGTGTCCCGGTGTTTCACTTCATCTGTATCTTTGGGGTAAATACCCAGTAGTGCAATTGTTGGGTCATAGGGTAGCTCTATTTTTAACTCTTTGAGAAATCTCCACACTATTTTCCAGAAGGCTACACCAGTTTGTATTCCCACCAACAGCGCAAGAGGGATCCCCTTCTCCACATCTTCGCCAACAGTTGTTGTTTCCTGTCTTGTTAATTTTCCCCATTCTCACTGGTGTGAGGTGGTATCTCATTGTGGTTTTGATTTGTGTTTTTCTGATAGCAAGTGATGCAGAGCATTTTCTCATGTGCTTGTTGGCCATGTGTATGTCTTTGGTGAAATTTCTGTTCATGTCTTCTGTTCATTTCATGATTGGATTTTTTGTTTCTTGGGTGTTGAGTTTAATAAGTACTTTATAGATCTTGGATACTAGCCCTTTATCTGATAGGTCATTTGCAAATATCTTCTCCCATTCTGTAGGTTGTCTTTAGTTTTGTTGACTGTTTCCTTTGCAGAAGCTTGCATCCTGCTTAACTCCCAATAGTTCATTTTTGCTTTTGTTTCCTCTGCCTTCATAGGTGTATCTTGCAAGAAGTTACTGTAGCCAAGTTCAAAAAGGTTGTTGACTATGTACTCCTCTAGGATTTTGATGGATTCTTGTCTCACTTTTAGATCTTTCAACTATTTTGAGTTTACCTTTATGTATGGTGTAAAAGAATGGTCTAGTTTCCTTCTTCTGCATGTGGCTGTCCAATTTGCCCAGCACCATTTACTGAAGAGACTGTCCTTTTACCAGTGTCTTTCCTGCTTTGTCAAATATTAGTTGACCATAGAGTCGAGTGCCCATTTCTGGGTTCTCTCTTCTGTTCCATTGATCAATGTGTCTGTTTTTGTGCCAGTACCAAACTGTCTTGATGATCACAGATTTGTAATACAGCTTGAAATCCAGCATTGTGATAGCCCGGCATTGGTTTTCTTTTTCAACATTCCCCTGGCTATTTGGGGTCTTTTCTGATTCCATACAAACCTTAAGATGATTTGTTCCAACTCTCTGAAGAAAGTCCATGGTATTTTGATAGGGATTGAGCTGAATGTGTAAATTGCCCTGGGTAGCATAGACATTTTCACAATATGTATTCTTCCAGTCCATGTGCATGGAATGTTTTTCCATCTCTTTGTGTCTTCCTCAATTTCTTTCAGAAGTGCTCTGTAGTTTTTAGAGTATAGATCCTTTACTTCTTTGCTTAGGTTTATTCCTAGGTATCTTATGTTTTGGGTGCAATTTTAAATAGGATTGATTTCTTAATTTTTTCTTTCTTCAGTCTCATTGTTAGTGTATAGAAATGCCACTGATTT